CTCCTGCTCCTGCTCCTGCTCCTGCTCTTGCTCCTGCTCTTGCTCCTGCTCCTGCTCCTGCTCCTGCTCCTGCTCCTCCTCCTCCTCCTCCTCCTCCTCCTCCTCCTGCTCTTCCTTCTCATATCGTCACCCAGGTTTGCAAAGCTGTTGGATGTTTCAACAACGTCACTGCTGGTTTTTCCTTCTTCTCATGCCAACATGACATTCAAATCTGACATCCACGATGCAGGAAACTATCAGCCAGGAGTGATTCAGATGAGATTCAGATGGTGAGCAATCGAATAATTTCTGCACAACAATCCCTATCCCTTGTTGTTCGTAAGTTTCAATCTCATTGGATAAGATCGTCCAATTGCAAACTTTGTTAAGATTTCTGCTCCTCCTTCCCACTACATCTTAACATGTTTTGTCTCAGTCAACTCTGCTTATGACTTCTTGCTCTTTGCTCTCTCCTGCATGTCATACATCATATTTTCATCTCTTCTTTGATCTGAATCCTCCTCATCCTCCGTTCATCATCATCTCCATCATTTCTCCATCCTTATCATCGTTATCACCATCATCATTACCATCATTCTCATTATCATCTCTATCACCTCTATCATCATCACCAAATTTTCACCATCTTTTTCATCATTCTCATTATCAACTTTATCACCTCTATCATCATCACCACCTCATCACAACCATTTTCATTCTATCACCATCACTATCATCATCTTACGCTTCTGTCTTCAAGGTATCTCATTCATCCCAACAACTCGGTGATCGACGCTGTCAAAGTTCTCCGAATTGAAAACCCTGTCTGGGGAGGAGCGTCAGAGAAAGCTGGGTAAAATCCTGCTGCTGCTGTTGCTGCTGCTGCTGCTGCTGCTCCTCCTCCTCCTCCTCCTCCTCCTCCTCCTCCTCCTCCTCCTCCTCCCTCCTCCCTCCTCCCTCCTCCCTCCTCCTCCTCCCTCTTCCTCCTTCCTCCTTCCTCTTTCTTTGTCTATCTCTCTCTCGCGTCTTCTGTTTCCGTAACTCTTCCCTTTGTCTTGTTCCTTGGTGTATGTTCTGCTTGCTGAAATGATTCCAGGTACTGGTGGCTGGCACCGAGCTTTAGCACTTGGCTTCCAAGGTGATAATGGATATGATGCTGATGATGATGATGGAAACGGAGATGATGATGATGATGATGAGTATGATGCTTGTGATTATGATGATAATCATGATGGAAATGGAGATGACGATGACAATGATAATGATGGAGATGAAGTTGAGTCCTAAGACAGACGAATTTTGTTGACATACTGTTCCAGCGGGTTTTACAAGAGCCTCTTTGAGATTGACGGCCTATGGATGATTCAAGTTTGTTCTGATTGCACATCCGTCTGAAGATGCTGATGATGTTGAAGGATGAACCTGTTTGGATCCAGAACGATCGTGGGGTTCACATAGGAAATGTTATCCCATTCGAGAGGAGGTCAACATTATTCTCACTGAGATGTTGCTGTCTGAGATGTTCATGCAGCACAATTCACTACTACCTCTGTTTGTTCGGACTTGTCTTCGTACCATTCTACTCCATGGTGAAACATCCTCCTCCTCCTCCTGCTCCTCCTCCTGCTCCTCCTCCTGCTCCTCCTCCTGCTCCTGCTCCTCCTCCTCCTCCTCCTCTTTCTCTTCACCCTCCATGCACTGATATGCTCTCAGGCGCTTTCCCCAGATGCAACAAGAGCTACCAGATGGTCTTCAATCGTCATCTCGTTCCTCTCCTTTGTCAACCTGAGTTCGTCTCCTCCTCCACGTTGCTCTCTTCATGCCAACATGTGCCTTTAGGCATGTACAACTCACTCTACCCGCCTTGCGAGCCCAAGTTCACGCGCGCTCTGGGATGTACTAATCTGAACTGGGACCCAGCAGTGAAGGTGAGAAGGAGGAGGAGAAGAGGAAGAGGAAGAGGAAGGGGAAGAGGAAGCGGGGGGAGGGGAGGGGGGAGGGGGGAGGAGGAGGAGGAGAGGTTTTCTGCCATTGACAACAATGCTGTCTTGCAGACCAAGTTTCCAAACACTATCTGGAAACAAGTCTTCACAGAATCGGTGATTCGGCTGTCTTCAAACATGTCTTGGATCACCTCAGCTTGCTGATTGCTACATTACATCAGTGTCTCGCAATCAGTGGGTTTGTTTTCTCTGGGCTGTTCTTCTACAACTTCCTTGCAAAGAGAGCATTCATAAGTACTTTCACAACATTCACACAACTGTCTCTCACCTGCACGCTGCAGAGAGGATATTCTCAAAGCGCTTTCTCTCTGGCTACCGTGATCTGCGGAGAGAGCATCTGAAGAAAGTATGACATGCCTTGTTCTCCTCTGATGGAACTTACAACATTTCCTCACAGCTCTTCTGCCGGTTCATCATGTTCGATGTCTCCTCTCTTGCAAGGGATGAATGGTATCGCAAGAAAATGCAACTCGGGATTCCCCTCCCTGAGGTGAGATGTTGCTGGTCTTCCCTCCCCTGCCATATCTGACCGGCCTCCTGCTCCTGCTCCTGCTCCTGCTCCTGCTCCTCCTCCTCCTCCTCCTCCTCCTTTCCTGGATCTCGTGCGTGAGAGGATGAATGCAAAGGCCTTGCATCAAAGTCCGCATGAGGTTGTCAATCTGCTTGGTTCGAGGATGGGCAGGTCCTGAAGACACAGAAATATAAGAATGATGATGATGATAACGAGGATGACGATGACGATGATGATGATGATGATGATGATGATGATGATAACGACGATGA